CTAGGTCCTTGAGGAATCGCCACACTGTCTTCCACAATGGTTGAACTAATTTACACTCCCACCAACAGTGTAAAAGTGTTCCTATTTCTCCATATCCTCTCCAGCATCTGTTGTCTCCAGATTTATTAATGATCACCATTCTAACTGGCATGAGATGGTATCTCAATGTAGTTTTGATTTGCCTTTCTGTAATGACCAGTGATGATGAGCATTTTTTCATATGTTTTTTGGCTTTATATATGAGGCTGCCAAATCTTAATCAGATTATATCCTTAAGTTGATTAAACCCTCAGTCACCATTTTACTCAGGCTATAGTCCCAAATTTGTCATGTGATGTTCATGGTCCTATGTGGTCTAGCCCTTGTTCATTTCCACCTGCCTCCCATGCCACTCCTGTCCCCTGGCTCACCAGCTTCCAGCCACAGTGGGCTTCTCTTCCTCCTTCCCCACATGACAAAGGGCTTCCCACTTGCTGCTCCCTTTGCCTGGAGTGCTGGTCCTTCTCTTCACCTGGTAACACCTAGCCATCACAGAGGTCTCGGTTTAAATGTTACTTTCTCAGAGAAGCCTTCCCCTGACCCACCAAACAAAATCAGTTTCCCTCATGTTCACCTTTCAGCAAACTCTTAATTAACAATCAGTTTATACTGCTGTATTTATCTGTGTGATGTTTATCACTGGCCCTCTCCATTAGTCTGTAAGTCTAGTGAAGCCAGGAACCATGCCCATTTGACTCATTGCTGGTTTCCATCTCTAGCTCAGTGTTTGGCACATAGTATCTACTCAGTAAACATTTGTGGGCCAAGTAAGTAAATGACTCCATGTTGGTGGTACATAGCTTCTTTTCCAGTTCTCTATTAAATTAGCGAATAATCAGAATCTATATAGATTTTTCTTCGTTTTCTCAGAAAAAGCATGTAGAAATGAACTTTTGATACTTTAATAATTGAAGCAAGTTTCACAAAATTATCAGGAGAAAAGTTCAGAAACATAGATTACCCAAGGAAACACAAGAATCTCCTGGCTTTGAGGTTTCATCAGAGGATGATTCAGTTAAGTTTGAGCTCTATTGCTGTGTATAGGCTATGAGATCGACAAGATTCATTCCGTAGAACCAGGCTTAAAGGAGAAACACCTTTCTTTCTGTTTATATGTTTGATTATTTGTCTAGAACTTAACTCTTTGCTTGTGCCCAAATAGAAAAAGTACTTTGGAATTCCACTCTTGATTCGGACTTCTTTTTCTTCACCATGATGTCCAGAAAACTCTGCTATAACATGTGTGTCCCTCAAAATTACTGCAGTCTTTAAAACCACACAGTGGAAACGACAAGGCTTATGGGGGAAATGGGACTATGGGAATAATACTGAAAATTTTATTTTGACACAGTAAGAACAAAAAGGTAGGAACCTAATACCTAATAAATGTTGTGCTTTACCTTGAAAAAGTTTCTTGTGGAAGTGGATATCAAACGGGATGCAGCTCAGAGGTTACTGTGAAATGGTGGAAGGAATGCTGTCTGAAATTAGAGGGAAAGTTGTAACACCACATGTGGATGGGTGTGGCTCGTAATGCTCATGGTAGACTGAGGTCTATTTGAAATACGTGTGTTTTGTCTGTTTTGATGCAGTTCAGCTGAGTGCAGTTTTCTGTGTTCACCTAATTTTTCTCATGAATGAAATCAGGCAATCAGCAAACCTAAGATTTGTGATATGCTCAAATTTTTTTGTAGCATATCATTAGTTGCATTAGAACAAATTAGTGCTTTTAAAAGAAATGTTACAGCAGAACTGACAGTAGTAGGGGAAAAAAGTGGGAGGCTTAGGGTCAGAAAAACTCAGTTCTAGTCCCAGAGCTGCTATGTCTAACCATGGAACCAGAGTAAGCTCCCTTTCTCTCTTTCAGCCCCCACCCTTATCTTTAGATGCAGGTGATAATAACCAATATTGCTGAATTGTTCTGGAAACTGAATACAGTAATGAAGGTGGACACATTTTGTAAAATGTAAAATATTCTCCAGATTGAAGATATTCTTTGCAGAGTTTGCTCATTTCAGAGTTAGAGACAGCAGCTAACAAAGAACAGAGTAGCAAGTTAACCTGTTCACAGCTTTTGTTCAGAAAAATAGGCAAACCTATCTTTTTACTAATAACAAAGCTCACCTCTTTAAAGGGAAAAAAGAGCCTGTGACTGGCAAATTTTGTTGAACATGTGTTGAATGTCACTGCTTAGACTCAGCCTTTGAGCTGTTGTTTGTGTTCCTGGTGCAGCGATTTGAGAGCTTGGTAAGAGAAGCCAAGAGAAAGGGAAGAGGTAAAGAACCTGGAACATCTTGCTCAAAGAACATGGGAGGAATTGAAAGGTGGTGATTGACGGGCTTTAGAAATCATCATGAGGTTTTCCTAGGCAGGTGTCTTAAAACCATTCCAGGCTTGTGGCTCTGTGGAAAGAGAGCTGTTGCTCTAGAAATGTGGTCCTGTCAGATTTGTGACCCAGATTTCCATGGGATTTTCTTCTGCTTACTGCTCTTCAGTACCTAGTGGTGGTGTGTAAATAACACCAGCCGTTCTCCATCCCTCATTGCCTTTCACACTTTCTGCTGTGAAAGATCCAGAACAAACATTTGGGAGACAAATTAAAATTACTTTGGGGACAGATCAATTTATATCCAGAATATAGCAAATACAGAAATTAAAAAAAAAAAAAACCTAGCCAATCTAGTGATACTGGATTTTTTCCATCTTTAGCCATAGTCTCAAATTCGGGAACAAAGCTTTTTCATATTTAGAAAGTAGGTATGGATTACTGTCAAGTTTTCATTAATTTATGGAAATACACCTCATTTAAAGGGAATATATTTTAGTAAACAGCTTTTGCCCTCATAGTCTTAATTCCCTACATTTTCTCTGAGTTACCAGGATTTTTTTTTAATGCTTTTTTTTTTTCATGTTTGAAAAGGCATACATATATTAAAGAGAAAAGATTATTTGTGTGGAAAAGGTTATCTCATAATCATATTTTTGATACTCTTTAATATGGAAGTGAGTGAATCTATATAGCATTCTGTACTTTTGAAGGGAAGAGGGATGCTGTTTTCTCTGAAAAATGTCACATTCTTTATAGCATGTGCTTTTGAACTATTTAGTGTACTTTTTTTTTTTTTGGCCCCTTTGTTTTTGGAATTGAAGCACTGTCTTCCAAATTCTGTATTGTTGGTGACTTGTCCATGTTTGTTTTAATCTAATCAGTCAATACAAAGAGGAATGTCAATTGTCTATGTAACTGTAAAGAGTTTATTATAGTAAAATATATATAACATAAAATTTGCCATTTTGACCATTTCTGTAAAGAGTTAGCTTTAACCTGTTTGTCTTCCACAACCACATTTTTCTTTCTTTCCAAATCTTCTAAAATGTCATTTTCCAAAGTAACAGGATAAGGATTTGATTTTAATTTTGATTTTAGTTTTTCTAATTTCAGTAAAAGTAACTGATTGTGGGGTTAAAAGTAGACCATCAAAAAGTCAGGTCTTACTTAGCAAAAGGCCAGCTTCAGAATCAATAAGCAAATCTATTTCCAGCACTACCATATATTAGGTAATGTACTAAAAATATAAAATATATCTGCACATAAGCGTGGTCCTAATCTGGAACAAATATTTTGGTAGAGAATTATGATAAATTCACATGAAAAATAATAGTAGAAAGTAAAAGTGAAAACCTAAAGGGTGGTAAAGATGGTAGGTGCTGTTGGAATTCAGGGAAGGGAGGAAATGAAGTGATGGGGGACAAGTTTTAGAGGACATGGCTTAAAGCTGAACCTGGAAGGAACCCTAGGTTTTCAATGGATTGACCTGGGAGCTTTTACTCAGGAACAAAGGTGCAGAGGCAGGGGGACATGTAAGCACTTTTAGAGGATCAGGATTCATGTCTAGATTCTAGTCTAATGTTTCTTTCACGGTCCTCAGAATGCCTTTTTTCTCATGAGTTAGAGCTGGAGAAAATCTGTCTTTGCTATCACTTCCTGTGACTATACCCCACACGTTGAATCATATTTAATCCTGAGTAGTGCATGGTACACAGTCATAGTGTTTGGTTTATTTCAAAGCAGAGGTCTCTGTTTCTCTTCTCTCCTTTTAAGTATGTATGTCCCTCACGATCAGACATTGCATCTATGGTTTTCATCATAGAGCATATATCCTGTGTACAAAGTGCTCAGCTTAGTAACAGCAGTAAAAATAACAGCACGGCATGCTTTTTTAAAAGGCAATAACAACAACAAAACAAAGACATTAGCGTCGCTGACTCAGTGCTATCGGGAGGATCTGAGCTGTGTGCTTTTTACCAGTTCCAGGAATGAGTTTGTGCTGAACCATCCATTCTGTGTCATCCAGTTCCTCTTTCAATCCCTGATGCCCGTTCGTGAGATGAGGTAGTTATCTAGGATTATAGAAACAGTGAGTGGCTTGGGCTAGTTTTATCTCTGAAGATCTAACTGGACAAAATGAAAACCAATTCTTGAGCCTCACTCTCATCAGCTTCATGGTCTAATTAACGAGATTTTTGGTCCTTCTATAAAAACAGTAATGTTCTCTTTCAAGGATATGTCAGAGATGGAAGAGATGAAATAATTCTGAACAGGTAGTAATCTAACTAATTATTATCTGACTTACTGTGCATTTGATAGTATTTTGGGGTCATAGTTCTTTACAGGATGCCCTCTAGGTTAGTGGAAATTATTCAAGTATTAGAATTAAGTTAGCTGAGACTCAAAATCTGTTACCTTCTGGTTTATGTGACCTTGCACAAATTACTTAGGTATCTCTGATCTTTGGTTTCTTTGTCTATAACAAGAGATTAAGAATAGCACCTATTTCATGGGGGTGTCAGAAGGATGAAATTCATCTATATAAAGCTCAAGTTATCACCTAATAACCAACTATTTTATATTTTTGTCATAAACACCTTTTCAAAAGTCATTCCCTTTGCACCCTTTATAGCATGAGAAGCTGATACATGAACTGGAAGAGGAGAGACACTTGCGTCTTCAGAGCGAGAAGCGGTTGCAGGAGGTGACCCTAGAGTCTGAGCGTAACAGAATTCAGATGCGTGGCTTGCAGCAGCAGTTCTCCAGGTATTGTTCTTAACTGAGCAGATTGCTTCCTGAGGTGCATCTCTCTCTCTCTACCAACAACACCTTGGATTGAATGTCCATTGCGTAAGCTTCTGTTGTGTTTGATGAGCTAATTTACCAACTGTTTAGAACTTCTGTTCTGACCAAACCATCCTGTCACATCCAGACCAATTTTCTGAAACTTTCCATTTGCACCTGACATGATCTTCATTGAAACTGGTTGTCTTTTCTTCCCTGATGGCTTCCCCAAGGGTCTTTAAGTAAGTTGTCATGGCTTTGCAGCCATTAGGCATGTCCTTTAGAAGGCCAGCCCAGAGGGTGAGAGTTCACTGGTCATCATAATCCTACTTTAAGACAAAGAGAGTGTGAATCTAATGATTCAATAAGCTCTTCCTTATTGCTTAGAGGAAACACTAAGGAGTGGTAGTAAAGCAAAAAAA